GTTTTTTTTCCCTTCAATTTTCCCTTTTGTAAGAGAAGCCTTTTCCCCCACGCGCGGTTCTGGCGCGTGCGCTACACGTCTCCGCCATACTCGAGAGCGTCGCGAGATTTTTTATCTTCGAGGCCACGTGGCGGGGTTTTATTTGGCACGTGTGGCTTCTGTAATCGCGAGCGCGTGGGGTTGGTTCGAGCAATCTTAAAAACCTGCATTTGGTTCTCAGATTCTTGTGTGTATCAGCTCAAAGCCGATCAGATCGCTCGGAACGTCGTCACCAACCTTAAAACGGATCTCCACGTGTCATCTCCTTATTGGACTACTCCTTTTCCCCAACACATATATATATACATGACAATTTTTTATATGTTAAATTTATACCAATTTTCACCTGAGATTATTATTAGCCAATTTAAACCTTCATAAACAGTAAGAGACTAATTAAATTGAAAAATGTTTAACCTATTGAAACTTGTTAATATGTTAGAGTATAGCTCAGTAGGTTATGGTATATATATGAACCGTTCAACTTATTGACACTTTTTAAAGAGTAGGAATTCAAATATTAATGTTTAAAACATATATTTAGCTCAGTAACACACAATTTTAATAAATCAAAAACAAATTATTGCTAGAAGCTAGAAGAAGGTGGTAAAAATACTTATAATTCAAAGAGTTTTGCTATAAAATTTTATTAATGACAATAATATGGATGTTTGAACATATTTGAAGATTCAATTTGGGAGTTTAAATTTTCAGCAGAGAGATTGGTTTTCTTTAATTTTCTTTGATATGTATTATTATCATTTTAAGAAAACATGGACTTTCTTTTTTCTTCATTAATTAATTTCATCATTTATCGTTTAGAACAAGGACTTATCTCTAGTTATGTTTATTATTATTTTACCCAAACAATCAAGATCATTCAACAATTCAACATATACATTTAGAGACACAAAATGACTAAAAAATGACACTTATTTTATTCATACAAAAAAATAAACAAATGAAACGAAAAAATCATTAAGTTATGCTAGGCTTAATCGTCAAATATTGTTATGGCGATGATATAATTGTTGATGCAAAATTTAGATACATATTCCAACGTATAGAATGCTGCTCCAGTCAACACCTACATAGACAATAAATTTGCATACCGATGAGACTAGACAAATTAAGGTTGTTTAATGTACCTCACGCCCCAAGATTCTACTTTTATTTATAGATGGAGTCTCATTTAGACTGGTTTGGGTAAACTGACTCAACTGGGTTTGGTCAACCCGAGCTACATTGCTTCTTTAGCCTCACTTAAAATGAATATATTACGGTAATTTCACCACTAACATAATTTATTATTGAAAATTAAAATGTTCTAGAAAGAGAGCATGATTTTCATGGAGGAAGAGAAACTTTGCTAGAATTGTGATCTAGTGTGAAAGGAAAAAATGATATGGAAGTATTAAGAGTGCAAGAGAAACTTTGCTTTTCTACACCTTGGTTTCAGATTTGTCATTTTTGTTAGGATACTAAAGATTACAAACTTGCTTGTGAAAGGAGGGATGCTGACCAAGCTTTGACCAAAATAACCAATCGTTGAAAAAAAAATAAAATTGTTTGTGGGATAGGGTTAGTTTGGTCAAATCCCAAACAGAAATATTTGGCAATTTTAACCAAGTATAGGTTGAAAGGACCATATTCTAAAATAGGTAAAAGGGTGGTTTTTCTTTTTTTGACAATATATATATTCTTAAAGAAAGGTATTTGATATCCACGGTACTTAAAAACTTATTTCAACTTTTTTACTACGTAACATAAATTTAATTTATTACAACTTTTTTTTTTCTTGTTTGTGTATTTTATATTACATTTTGAATTTGAGTTTAATTTGGACTAATATACTATATTTTAAAATTTTCAAACATCCAAGTATTTATGTAGATGATTCTTTTGTCAAACGTAATAATGTCATGATTTAGACCACAAAAAAGTTGAGATCATCTTTCGAAGAAATAATTCATTTAGTTAAATTTTTCGCTTTTGTCTTTAAATTTTTAAGGTTCTCTAATAGGTCTCCCGAGCTCTAAAAAGTATTTAGTGTGTCAATAAATTATAAATGTTGTCTTTAATTAATAGGCTTCCAAACTTTAAAAGTGTCTAAATAGTTCCCTGATTTTTAAATTTTATATAATAAGTCCCGACCTTTAGAAATATATAGTATAAAGTGAGGATATGAAATCTTATTTTAGGAGATGATTTCAAAAGTTATATCATTTTTAAAAATAAAATATTTAGACTATTTTATTTATCGAATCATATTGAAATATTATTTATTTGGGGGAAAGGCCAAACATGGTAGTTGAGAGAATTTTCAAAAATTATATTAATTAAGTAGGATTGTCAATCCGAACATAGTTCAACTTGATTAAGACATAGATCGAAGGCTCGGATTCCCACCACACATGTTGTAAACTACTTTTATTTTTTATTTTTTTTTTATTTAGGTTGAAGCATTCAACATTGTTACCTTGACGTATGGGAAACATTGGAAATTTATAAATGATTCTATTTTTGTGGCTTAGGAAGAAACCCTACCTACTTACATGCTTTGTATTATGACTTATGAGAGGGATGGATGATATAAAATCTAACCACATTTAATGTTAACATGTTGAATTAAATATATTTAATTCACTCATATATCTTTAGGTTTTTTTTTTCTTTTTTCTTTTTTTTTTCTGATATCAATAGGGCAAAAGCCCAAGATTTGAGTGGAATAAGAGGACTTGAACCTATGAACTTTTGGTCAGATCTCAATTATAGCTCATATATATTTAACTTTTGGACCAAACTAGATAAAAGAAAAATCACTATTCTTCCATCTATCTAGTTTGAGAGCGAATGCAGTTTTAATTTTTTTTGCTTTCAAAAATAAATTTTGCTATTTATCTCCTATTTTTAAAAAAACATCTATAAAATTTTAGTTAATTTTTAAAAAGTACAAAAAAAATAAATTTTAGTTTGATTGATCTAAAATATTCAAGTCTCTTTCATCCTAACTCACCGACTTTCAAAGTGTTTATTCTAACTTCTGGCTATGTTATTTGTGTTTTGCCATCAATTGTTTAATACATGGATGGTGTATCTTTCAATATGGTACATTGATAGGCTCATGTTGACATATTTTGAGCAACAACTAAATTATATTTGAAATTGATTAATACTTATCACACCTAGTATATTTACTCATAATGTTCTTATTAACTATTTTATGTGACTTCAATACATATATTCACGTCAATGCATTAGTACATAGATGTATCAGATTTGATAAGATGGTATCGATGTTGGTAAACTATCGAGATATCTATCTTCAACAGTAGACAAAACTGAAAAATAAAATAAAAATAAAAACTCTCTTTAAAATCCTTGCTATTTTTTTTAAGTACAACATGTTGGGAGTGAGATCGAACTCACAATATCTTGATTTGAGGTATATGTTAAGTACCGTCGAGCTATGCTCACTTTGACTTAAAATACTCGCTATTGAATAACGTTAAAAAGTTAACTGTTACATTTTTAAAGAGGCTGCTCATCGCCTTAGAAAAAACAACTAATTAATTCTAAAAACATTAGATTGCAAATTAATCAACTCAAAATCAACAAACTTAACTGAATAAAATCTCTTTTAATACAATTTTACAATTTCATTGAAGAAACTAGTGAGTAAAATGTCAGGCTAAAATCATAAAATCATAATTGAAATAAAAGAGACAAATTCTTTTTTAGTACAATAATTTAGAGATATGAGAAAAGAAATGAGGTAAAATTGAAAATGAAAGGACTAAAATATCATTATTTATGTAATTTTATTTCAAATCCAATTGAATAGAAAAATAATTTGGGTACATTGTAAATTTATGTTAGGCACTCATTTTTTCACAATGAAATCCTTAAACACAAAATAGTGTGATAAGAATAATAGTTAAAATAAACGTTTCAAATTATACGGATTAAAATAAACAAAAACTAAAAATTTTATAAATATTAAAATAAATAATTCGAAAGTATAATAAAATGAAAAAAAATAAAATAATATTTAAAGCCTACTTTTTTATAACCTTCAACTATGAACATCTTTTGTTGATTGAAAACACTTGGTCTGAATCTTGAAACCAACACGTCATCTGACCCAATGATTTGACTTCTAAAAATTGACAAAAACTTTTATCTTTTAAATTACTTCAATTTAATAATTTCTGTCCAATCGCGTAGATTTAGTTCTTATCAATTTCATTACGTTATACATATATATATATTTTCTGCATGGGATTGTTCACGGTGCATTTCCAACGACCCTCGGGAGTTACGGCGGCGGTGGCTGCAGCCAAATAACCACCGTGGGGGGTCGGTTCCGCCACGTGTCGCGACGGCAACTCCGACTTTCATTTCACTGTTCAACAGTTCCCAAAGCCAGCTGTTCTGTTACACTTACACTGCTGAGCATGAAAAGCACCCTCTGTCAGTGACGTGTCACTCTGCCATTCGTCTGTGATTGACAAAGGCGTCGGTGCAGGGGTTGTCG